ACAAGGTATTTGGTACATTAGTGTAATTTTTTTGTCATAAATAAAACCTGAATAATATGGCGTGATTTATTTACCAACTGAACATTAATTTAGCGAAACCTGTTAAACGATAATAATATATGTACGTATTGTAGTTATATATTTCCAAGATAATTTCAACGGAAGTAATTTAACTTTCATTTATGATTTACAATCTAAACAATATGGAGTGTGCTGGAATAGCCCAATGGGAAAGCAGTTGCTTTAGAGCAGCAATTAAACAAACAATTCCAGTTTGATTTCAGTTCTACTATTCCGTACATGATATAAGAAATTTTTAATGAATGATAGAAATAATAACACAAACAAAATACGAGGGTAATAAATTGTGATCTTATAGGAAAAGATCCAAAAGAAAGAAAAAGGAAAATCACATTTAATAACATTTATTACATATCTATATTTTTATCACATATGTATTTTTATGTTTAATAACATTCATTTAGAAAAGTACCATTTAAGTATTTCTTTAAAGAAGGTAATAACATTTATTTATAAAGTCTTACTGTTTTTTTTATACGTGATAATCAGGCAATTTGCTTTATTTGTAACTTACAAAAACTGTACCAAAAAATATTTGCTGACAATAACACTTTTGTTGAAGTCATATTTCCTCATTAATTATCAGGCAACTCGCTGTCCGTCCATTTGAGAGTCACGATTTTCCCCGTGCGAGCGGACTCCTCGCAGGCCGTAGCGATCTTACTCACCGCCAGGATCTCCTGCGACTTGACCAGAGACTCAACCTTACCGTGCACCACATCGATGAAGTGATCCAACTCTCTTCGATAGCCGTTCATGTAACGGCTAGGAAACGAGAAACAGATCGGGGCGGTGGTTGGCCCCTGCAGGTCATACTGCCGCTGAACGGAGTTCATCTGCACGTTGTTGGCTTGCACCATGCCCTTCGGACCGAAGACCTCCAGTCGTTGATCGTATCCGTACGAGCTGGTGTGCGACACATCGATCAAGCCGACGGTCCCTGACGGGAAGTGCATGATCACCGCAACCGTGTCGAAGTCCCCGACAGTCGCTTTGATCTCCGGGTCATTCGCGTCGGCCAGGACCGCAACCTGCAATCGTATTTC